CGCGACAGTCATAGCTGCCGCGACACATCATTCAACCGCGCCACTGCATCCTGCCGCGGCCAAGAAGAAATTCCCAATGCCATCTCTTCGATTCCACTGACGTCTGTTCCAGGTCTGTCTACTGCATCACCGACAAAACCCTGGGTTAGCGCAGACCTATCAAAATTCAAGATCACAATGGCGATTCGCCTCGGTCCTTCGGTTGATGATCGAGGCAAAACCTCAGTCAAAGAACAATCAGATCCAGCAAATAAACCTTTAATGGTTTCTTATGCAGGGGGTCGTAAATACCCTCCTGTCAGAACTACACAAGTCCAAAACGAGAAAATATCAATTCACTCTCGTTTAGGACCAATGAAGACTCCATTCCCGCAATGGGGTGGATTTAAGAATTCAACCTTGGATCGCCCAGAGGCGACGACTAGTCGTCCTGTGCATGTTAATAGGGTTCAAAAACAAAAGATGGGTTGCTCAAATCACAATAATGATGAGCTGTACTATCAAAACAATAACTCAAGAAAAAGAGTTGTCCGAGAAGACGAGTCTCACTGCTCCTGCGAGAGGCTCATTAAAGCAGTATTGATAGAATGCGGTTGCTCTAAAACTAATTCAACAAGAGTCTCCGTATTTCAAAGACTTTCCACTGAAGCGTCAAGACCCAAAATGAGGCGTTTCAACAAGAAGAAACCTGCAATTCGGCGAGATGAATTCCCTGAGGTCACTATTAACATGACCGGCAGAGGAAAGCAATTATTAGTCAACCCTGACCCTGATTTCTCTCCGGAAGGGAGAGTTGAGCGGGGTCTATCTCAAAGAATGTCGCAGTTACAAAGAAGAGTCAACCGACGTCGAGATTACAAGAAAATGCACAAGGGGTTATCTTCAGATGAGGAACTGTCAGATACTTGCTCTACTGTTGCTTTAGACGATACCACGTTCAGTGTAGGGCGAGTCAGAGAAGCATTCGCAATCACACCGGATCAACTGGCTCAAATACTACAGGAAGCGTTAGCCAAACAACGCGAGGAAATTAGAGCTGAAATCAAAACCGAGATGGAGTTGACCATGCAGCAGGTTCGAGATTTGCAAGCTCAACAACATCAACCGGAATCGAGCCAAAAGGCGGAATCCAGCAAGCGTAACGCCAGACCTGTACGTGCAACTGAGGACGATGATGAAGAAGACGAGACTATCTTTGCCGATCCTCCTCCCGATAAAGATAATTCTGGAAGCGGCCCGGCCAAATCATCTACTCAACCTCCTCAAATTTACTTGAAGAAGAGTGAGGAAGAAGACAAAAAGATGCAGGATCTTGAGAGCAAAGTCAATGCTCTGATGACGGGCCAAGAAGTGAAGAAAACAGGCATTCCGTACCCGTACCCGAGGGAGTGGGATCTGATTCCTTATCCCCCAAGGTTTAATTTGATTAATTTTACTCCTTTTGATGGCAGGGGTTCACCCACTCAGCACTTGATCTATTTCAAGTCACATCTTGGCGCAATATCCGGAAACGAAGCCTTGATGGTCCGGTCATTCGTAGGAACCCTTCGCGGACCTGCCTTCGATTGGTACCGACGTCTCAAACCCGGGAGCATCACTAGCTGGGAAGATATGGAAGGATTATTTCTCACTAATTTCTTTGACGACGACACTGAGGTTTCTATTGGCACTTTGTTGGACGAGAAACAGATAAATGGGGAGTCGGTTGACGTCTTCGTCAAACGATTCCGGAACAAAGCGGTAAACTGCCGAGATCCACTCACAAAAGAGTTTATCCTACAGACATGTCACAATAACTTGTCGCTGGATGTGTTAGAAGTCATGGGGGTTGTACCTTCTAAAACTTGGAAAGAGTTAAAAGTGAGAGGGGAACAAGCCGAGCGCTTTCTTAAGAGAAAGAAGTTGGAGAGGGGACTGCCACAAGATAATCCTCAAAAACAGAACTTTAAATCTCAGGGCAGAGGAAGAGGGTCTGGGGCTGCTGTTGACGCACATCAAACAACACAACAGCCACAACAACCACAACAGTCATCCTTCCAACTGGCGCCAAGTCTTAGAGAGGCACATGAAGGAGAGTGTGGCGCACACCAACCTGGCCACAAGTTTTATGACCGCATCAGAAGAATGGGGTATTTTTGGCCTTTCATGATGAGTGATGCAATCACGTATGCCCGAAAGTGTCATGCATGTCAAACACATGCGAATTATATGCATCAACCTCCGGAGCATCTGCATCCTTCGGTTACGTCGTGGCCATTTGAGACCTGGGGAATGGATATCGTCGGTCCTATAAATCCCCCGTCAGTCAAGGTGATCGGTTCATCTTAGCAATTACCGATTACTTCTTCAAATGGGCTGAAGCGGTTCCGCTCAGAGAAGTTAAAACGAGCAATGTCATTGCATTCATCAAGCACCATATCATCTACCGGCATGGTGTCCCGAGACGAATCGTACATGACAACGGTCCTCAATTCGTCAGCAATGCATTCATCAAATTTTGCGAAAAATTCAAAATGCAAGACATCTCGTCGACAGCTTACAATCCCACAGCGAATGAATTGGCCGAAGCCTTCAATAAGACTATCATAAAGCTTTTGTCAAAACTCGTGAAAACTAATAAACGACACTGGGATGACAAGCTTGGCGCGACTCTATGGGCCTATCGGACCACGGTGCGCACACCGACGGGAGCGACCCCGTATTCACTGGTATACAGATGTGAAGCCGTTCTTCCATTGGAGATTCAAATCCCGTCACTTCGAATTGCCCTCGCGACTCAAATGACGACCGAAGAGCAACATCAGAAACGCCTCGAAGAACTTGAAAGACTAGATGAGAAGCGTTTAGAAGCTCAACAGCATATCGAATTTTACCAAGCCAGAATCTCTCGAGCTTTCGACAAAAATGTTCGACAACGGAGCTTCAAAGAAGGGGATTTGGTTCTAGCTGAAAGGCGGCCTATGATCCTTAACTCCAAGAAGAAGGGCAAATTTGAACCCAAATGGGAGGGACCATTCGTAGTAGAGACAGTTTACTCGAGTGGCGCATATCGCCTAGTCACCAAGGATGGCGACCGGCTTATGATGCCGATAAACGGCAAGTTCCTGAAAAAATACTATCCTTAGTATCTTCAGGATAACCAATGCATCGGGAAGTTCCTGGAAGAATGCCATATGTGGTATTCTTAGGGATAACCTAGTCATTGTAGAAGTGATGAATAAGAAATCCACGTTCGAATTCTGAATGTCGGAATATTTCTTCTTATTGTCAAATTCTCTAACTCTCATGAGTTATTTTTGTGAGATGAGATCCAATCCTTTGACAGGTTAATCTTTCCTCACCAAACCGCCCGCTGATCAAATTAATCGACGGGGGATTCACCAAAATTTCTACCCGCCAGTCATTGGCAACTCTCAGACTCAACATGATAGGTCATAATCACTTAGCATTGAAGTCCTCCTTTGAGTGATAGTACGAGTTGGCATTTTCATTGCTACCTGTATTTCACTCTCTTTGCTTTCAGGTCAGACCTATAAAAGTTAGGGCCAAAGCCAAATTCCTCTCTCGATTCCTTCCATGAACGAGAGGTCCACTTTCAATTTGAACAATCAAACCTATAAAAGTTAGGATTGTTCCCAATCTCACTTAGTCAAGCCTACAAGTAGTTGAGACTAAGACCGAGTCATTCTTTTTCGATAAACGACGAAAGTCTGCCTTTGTTCTTTTTCCACCAAACCTATAAAAGTTAGGGTCGAAATTGGGCTTTCTCCTCGATGAATGGGGGATTCTTTTGATTCAAATGACCAATCCTATAAAAGTTAGGGTCGTTTGAACCTTTCCGATTCTCGGAGTGGAGATCCCACTCTTAGTTTCATCTTTTCGGATTCTGGGGGTGGAGATCCCACCTTGAGTTTCCTTTCCTACTGTAGATAGAATATAAAATTCTTCCTCTTCAGTACCGGGAGATAGAATATAAAATTCTTCCTCTCCCATTTTCCAGTCTGTCTTTGTTCTTAGAAAAGACACAATTTTCAATTTCCAATCCGGGCACTTTGTGCACGGGGAATTTTATCTCAACTCCTAAATAGAGATAAGCCTATGCCTAACACGCGTCGTCGGTTTAGTCTTTCACCGATTGAAGAAGACACCAAGGTCTAAACTTGGGGAATTTTATCCTGAAGCCTAAGTAGGGACGAGTCAACACCTAACACGTGTTGCCGGGTAGCCTATTCCCGTAACAAGGGCGAAGCCTATGTATTCGGTATCATTGCGCAAAGTCTCGGAGAATTCACTCTCTTAGCACAACGTTACATGCGGAACGGATTCAGACAATCCGCATGCTAGCCCGATTCCACAACGTTACATGCGGAACGGATTCAGACAATCCGCATGCTAGCCCGATTCAAACGGTAATCGGTAAAGGCACATCAAACCCGTTGAAGGCTGGGGGTTTGCCAAAAATCCCAAAGTCTATGTCTAACACGCATTACCGGTTTAGTCTTTCGCCGATTGAAAAAGACACCAGGGTCTTAAGCCTGGGGAATTTTATCCCGAAACCTAAGAAGGGATAAGTCGTCGTCTAATACGCGGTGCAGGGTACCTTTTCCCTATAAGAAATGGTTAAGTCTATGTATCCAAAATCATAACATCAATTCTAAGAAAAGTGATTTTCTTAGTACAACGTTACATGTGAGACGGGTTTTAATAATTCACATGCTAGCCCGATTCAAACGGTAATCGGTAGAGGCATATCAAACCCGTTGAGGGCTGGGGGTTTGCCAAAAATCCCGTAAATATTATCATCGCTAGGTTCAAAATAAATAAAGAAATATCATAAATGAATCAAATACGGAGTCTTTATTAATAGATTATGTCAAAGCATACAATAAAAAGCTCGTTAGCCCGAAGGCAGCTGGCGGCTAAGAACATGAGACTCTAACTAGAAAGTCTATCTATATAACTCTGCTCAAGTTCTGCCTGCAGACCAGCTCGGACAGATTCTTCAGAACTGCTCAAGATCTTCACGGCTTCATTCTTCAGCTTCATCAATCTCTCCTGTGTAGATCCTAGCTTCTTGAGGGTCTGTACACGAGAACGCTCTAATCCAGCCAAGTCTTCTGCAATAATAGTAACGGACTCCTCGGCGTGCTTCAAGGCCTCCTTCAACCTAGTCACTTCCTCACGGCCGGAATCCAAAGAGCTGAGTAACCCGGCTCTATCGGTATCCTTCCTCGCCACAGTAGCCATCAGCTGCGCAACGGAACTCTCATGTGACTGCAGCTCGCGACCGATGGAAGATCTCAGGTCGCGCCACTGTGCCAGCCTATGCTCCATCTGAGAAGACACGAAGGAAGAAGCCCCATTAGCCTTTAATTCCTTCAACTCTCGGATCTCCGATTCCAGAACAGTAAAATCGGCGGTGTAGGAATCGGCCAGCTCTGGGTACCCTTCATCTCTGATCATCGTCATGTAGCGAGAAAAGGAACGTCTGAACTGATCGAAGCAATATCCTTGATGAAGAAGTTTCTCGATCATGCCGTTAAAAAAGACGGTAAAAAGGCCGAGGTCTGTACGAAAAATGTCTTTGTCGGGATCGGTATCGGCCAAAAGGGCGCGGACACGCTCATATAGAGATGATCGAGATCCTACAAGCAACAGTGTGGAAAGCTAAGAGATTGTCGAATACGATAAGAAAATTTAAAGACAAATTCCGAGCATACCAACGCCAACGGAGGTCCCTTCGGGCTGAGGTCTGACAGGCTCCGAGATAACGGCAGTAGTCGTGGAGGGTATTTCAACCCCTGTAGGCAAATCGGTTATACCTCTCGGTTGTGGCGGGGAGACACCGCTTTTATGCAAACTATCGGTCCCAGATACTGTAGTGGCATCAGGCACAACGGCTGGTCCTATAGTTACATTTCTTTATTAGTCAAAATGGAAATTTAGACAAATAAGGAGAATCGGGATGATAAGATCATCTACATACCTGCAAGTCCTCAGGTACACGGGGAATACCAGTAGTCGTAAGAGTATCGGTCCCGATGGCTGGTCCTATAATTACACCCATCTATTAGTCAAAAAATCAGACAAATGAAAAGGAGCACGACGTCCTAGATCGTATGCATACCTGCAAGTCCGTCACTCCGAGGTAAACTAGATATGCCGGGGATCATTACTAAATCGGTCCCAATGACTGGTACTGTAATATTAATCCTTCATTAGACAGACAAAAGATCAGGCAAAAGGAAGGGAATCAGATATATACCTGTGAATGAATCACTCTCAAAGGGTGGTCCCACGGTTCCTCTGGTGGCCTGTTCAGCCAGCATGTCGACTAATAATCCAATGTCGGGTCCCGAGAAACTTGGTGCAGAGACACACCCCTGTTCCTCGAAACCTACATCATGAAAGGCCTCATCCTCAACTGGCTTCTCTATTACGACATCTGCGGAATAATTTAAGTGTTGGATATATGTATAAGAAGATGGGGAAAGAAGGAAAAGCTCAGAGGTACCTGCAGAAGGAACAGAAAATTCTTTTTCCCCAATATCCATGCTTGGGTTCTTCAAGTTACCTGAAAGAAAGCGAAGCACCAAAAAAATAATGAACCCTGAATTCCCTAACTCTTCTAAATGCTACTCGAGGAAGGCATCATCGGAATTAGATATACCTGAACATAGAATGGCGGGCTCAACGCTATTAACCTACTCAGTATCAAGGTTCGTATCGACATCCATGGAATCGTCACGAATGGCGTCACACATCTGTTGCATGAAGCTATCCAGATTATCAGAACCAGGGAATACAGGATCCGGTGGAAGTTCGCCCTCTTCATAGTGTCCTGGAACATAAAACATGATTACGAATCCCAGAAGATAAACCATCTTAAAGCAATAAAGACAATAAAATATTACCTTCCTCTCCGTCGGCGATGTCTCCTAAATCCACTCCATATGGGCGCCGACCAACGTGTGGTTTATGAGCGGTCTTCTTCTTTTTCGGAATACCAGCCCTCATAGAACCAACGGGTCGTTCGTGCACGGACTTGCCACGCGTCTCAACCTCACAACGAGAAGCAAGCGACTCATGATCGTCGACTGTCCTACCTGAAGTGATAAGGGTCATTTCATTAAGTGAACAAGATCTTTCGTTGATACCAATTGAAATTGAGAAAGAAGGCTAAAGAGCATGACAAACCTGCATTAAGTTCTTCTTTGTCAGTATCTATATCCACATACTCCTCCTCAGAAGTCTCGTCCTTATCATCAGTAGGAAGGAGCTCTTCATCGTCCTTCATCCTGTCTCTGCTCGAGAGAGAAGGTTTGGTAGGCTTCTTCCCCTGTTTCCTAGCAAGCTCAGCCTTACGAGCAGCCATCATAGTGACTTGAACCAAGTGCTCAGACTGCAACTCTGAAAGACTCCTCACACCTATGGACTCATTGGCAGAAAGGAACTACTTGCAACTGAGGAAAGTAATCAACGGCTTACGCCTAGATGAAGGAAGAGCAAAATGGGCTCCAGTGCAGCCCATCATAGTCCATAGCCATGCCCGAACGCCGTCAATAAGCCCTCCCTCAACCTTCAAACCACGGCTCGGATTCCCAACATATAGTTGGTCGTAGCCAAACTGACGAGCAAAACGGCAGGGAAGGTAAGGCTCTATGTGGCAACGATTCTTCACCCGGAGAACGAGATACCTAACGCGGATGTTTACCAACCAGCGGAAACAACCAACGTCAAGAGCAGTCCGATTAGTTCTGGGTTTCTCCTCATCAATCAGCACATCATCATAGCGACCCGAAAAGCGAGAAAAACACTTGAAGAACTCCCAGCTCTTACGAACTTGAAGCTCTCGTTGTACATCACTGAATGTTTTTCCGAGCCATCTGCTCCTCTCCAACAGCTGCACGAAAGGAACAGGGACATCAACAGTGCTGGGCGCCGACATCAAGTCAGGACGGTGAAGAACAAGCCACGCCATCAGATACGCATAAAGAAGCTCGACCTTCACACAAATAAGCTCGGCCGACGGTTCGGAACCCACCTGCGCAAAACCATTGACCAGATGCCTAAGCCCACAATGGATACCAGCAATCAGGGATACAGAACCGCGAATTTTCCGAAACGAGGGTTGTAACAGAACCGCGAATTTCCCGAAACCTCGATCCCCGCGAAGGAGGGTGTCGGTTCTTCCTTAATGACCCGCGAAGGGATCAATCAGGGATACAAAAAATATAAATTCTCACCTCCAAAAAAGGATGCCGCTAGAGAGGATGCTGTGGGAACCTCTCCCTCGCTATGTTGCGAACGGGAACGACTCCTATGAAGTCGATGTCGACGTGGAGACATCGAGAATCTGCAATGGAAATCAGCAGGTCAGGTATAATCATGAATTTGAGTATCCGAAATTTAAAAGGAAAATTAAGAACTTTAACTAAAATCCTATGAATAAATAGGATTTTATAGTTGAGGTCTGATTAAACCTACAAATTTCGTGCATGCAAAACAATGATCATGATAAATTTCGGTGAAATACCCAAAATACCCCTCGTATTCAAGGCTAAATTCTAGTCAAGGATACACTCGAATTGGGTCATGGTCATCATATTTGTTCATCTAACACCCCAAATACCCCACAATTTTGGTTGATTTTGCAAATAAACCCTTTTGTAGAATTTAGTCAATTTTGCAAATAGACCTCTCCACAAATGTCGGTTTAGTTTCCACACACCTTTCTCAAAACTTTGGTCATGGGTTTGTGGTCTAAACTTGCAAAATTTTAGTCTTGAATTTTAGCCCACTTTGCATAAAAACCCTCAAATTTCAGTCCACTTTTGCACAAAAATCCCCCAATTTCGGCCATATTGCATGTTTTGCATAAAACCCCCAAATTTTGGTCCATGCTCACAACCCATCATCAAGAGCCTATCTTTTTCATAAAATCCAACCCATGAGGACAAAAAGCTATGATCTTGGCATGTAAATTCATGGCATACCCTCATTACAAGCGTAAAGTTTCAATCTTTATCAAAAAATGAAAGAGTTTTGGGGGAGAAACTTACCAAAATCAAGAATCAAAACTTGAGCTTGAGGATATGATGAAACCCTAGCTTTGAGAGGGGAATATTTTCGGCCAAGGAAGGAGCACAAAACCCGAATTTATGAGGAGAGAGGTGTAGGATTTTTTTTTTAAGAGTAGAATTCTAATGGATTTGGAGTTCTTGAAAGAGAGAAATAATGGTGTATGGATGAAAGGAGGAAGAAGGAGTTTGAGAGGGAAAAGGGTTCTCTTTTGAAAATTTGGGAAGAGGGGGAAAACAAAAGAGGAAACAAATCCAAAACAAGAAGGGAAACAAAACAACAAAAAAGAAGAAGAAAAAAAAGCAAAAAGGGGGGGGGAGTCTCGGCCTTGAAACGAGACACCCTAGGGTGTCTCGGCCAAGGTTGAGACACAAGGGGGGGGGGGAGTCTCGGCCTTGAAACGAGACACCCTAGGGTGTCTCGGCCAAGGTTGAGACACCCACGAGTGTCTCAACCCAATTCAGGCCCCCGGACTCCCTTTCGAAGTCTGATTTCGCCTGTTCTCGTCGATTGTTTGGACGTTTCGACAAAGTCAATACTAATCAACACCGGACGATTCAAAACCCTAAAGTCGCCGGTCAACGCGTAACCCTAGGTCAACGCCAGTCAATGCGTTGCGACCAAAAAGTCAACGTTCGACGTTCGAAACCCTAAGGTCAACGCCGGTTAACGCGTAACCCTAGGTCAACGCCAGTCAACGCGTTACGACCAAAAAGTCAACGTTCAATGTCCGAAACTCTAGGGTCAACACCGATCAACACGTAACCCTAGGTCAACGCCGGTCAACGCGTTGCGACCAAAAAATAAACGTTCGACGTTCGAAACCCTAAGGTCAACGCCGGTCAACGCGTAACCCTAGGTCAACGCCAGTCAACGCGTTGCGACCAAAAAGTCAACATTCAACGTTCGAAACCCTAAGGTCAACACCGGTCAACGCCGGTCAACGCGTAACCCTAGGTCAGCGACAGTCAATCGAAACCTAGGGTCAACGCCGGTCAACGCCGGTCAACGCGTAACCCTAGGTCAACGCCAGTCAACGCGTTGTGACCAAAAAGTCAACGTTCGACGTTCGAAACCCTAGGGTCAACGCCGGTCAACACGTAACCCTAGGTCAACGCCAGTCAACGTGTTGCGATCAAAAAGTCAACGTTCAACGTCCGAAACCCTAGGGTCAACACCGGTCAACGCGTAACCCTAGGTCAACGCCGGTCAACGCGTTGCGACTAAAAAACCAACGTTCGACGTTCGAAACCCTAAGGTCAACGCCGGTCAACGCGTAACCCTAGGTCAACGCCAGTCAACACGTTGCGATCAAAAAGTCAACATTCAACGTTCGAAACCCTAGGGTCAACGCCGGTCAACGCGTGACACTAGGTCAACGCGTGACCGTAGGTCAACGCGTGACTGTAGGTCAACGCCAGTCAACGCGTTATGATCAAAAAGTCAACTCAATAACACGAGCCAAACTCAACTCATCAGTTGTAGATTTGAGACTTCGACGACGGCCAGACGATAAACGCAGCGCCGGAAGAACTTCAGCTATTCACCAAAACATAGAGTAGACTGAAAGTCGAAAGAGTCAAGAATCGAAGCTAACTACAGGTCATTTACGCCGACTGAAGGCTGGACCAATCACATCAAAAGTATTCCAGCCTCTTCTATAAAAGAAACGAGTCTGGAACGCTTTGGAGGGGGTATCTGTAGGCATCAAAAATTACCTATAGGTCTCCACGAACAGCTCAGTGTTAAGGAACGACGATAAACGTCACTATCCGGTTCACAGGAGTTCGATTGATGTCGGTGAACGATTGAAGTGAATCGACGAACTACGTGAACTAACAAAATTTCGGAATAACGGAGGTACGGGCTAATCGGGAGCCCCGCGATGTTTACAAAAAGAACAATGCCCTTCGTGTCTCATTCATTCTATAGATGATCCGACCATCGGAATTGATAGAACTCATTGTCGGCTTTCCAACGTACTTCGAATCACTCAAATCCGAGTTTGGACGAAAAATTTACAACGGAAACGGGCAAATACACCATAACGGAGTGTCTCGGCCAAGGTGGAGACACCCTGGGGTGTCTCCAACGCAGAATTGGGCCTTTGTGTGGTTTTAACCGCCTGGAACCCCTCAAGCCTATAAATACAAGCCTCAGACCCTCATTTTTTGGAGATCTGGAATTTTGGAGAATTGGCGAAGCCCTGCCGAACTGAAGGTGATCGAGCACTTCAACACAAGAGAGTTTCTTCGTCAGATCTACATCACCCGCATCCGATCCTTAGTCTTATCCCGTTGTGGTAATTCTAAGAAGAGCAATTATCTCGCTTTTGTCGAGATAAGCGCTTCTGTTTCTAGATCTCCTCACGGATCGACGAAGCTCTGGACCTGATCTGATTGCCAGGTAGTCCACGGATATCGACATCCCCGTCACAGGCTAAAGACCCACGCAAGCAAGAGACGACGAACGGATCTTGTGTTTATTTTCAAGAAAGTTGTAATCTTTTATTCTTTTGTTGTTTGAATTCATTTGTAACGCTTAAAGTTTAATGAAATCAATGACTAAGGTAACTTTCGACGAAAACAGTGTTGACTGACGCGGCCAAAGAGCATTTGTTTGGTCAGTTATCTCGCCCCCGTTTCCACTGTTATGCATTCTTACCCCTATAAATACCTCCCTAGACACGAAATAAAGGACAGAGAGCAGATTGGAGCAGAAAAGGCTTGAGCTTTTGGTGATTTTGAGGAAGAAAGAGATGATTTTCACCCTTTGACAAGTATCATTTGGTGATTCCTAAAGATCTAAGCTCAGACTTGATCTTTGGAAGAGTGAATATCTTACATCGATAAGATACTCGCTTTCAAATCCTTACTTTGATAAACGAAGGAAGGATCCCTAAACACCCTCACGATCTGTGAATCGGTGGTCCACGGGCCAAAGCACTCACGGCACAGGCAAAGTACCACAAAAGCAGGAGTTGATAAACAATTTCTGTGTTATTTTCTCGAGAGTTGAAATTTTTGCTTATTTTCATTGTAATTTTCTGTAAACGACTGAAGTTTTATTGGAATCGACAATGGAAACAACTTTCGCTGAAAATAACCCCGAGGCGACTACTATACCTTGTAGTCGACTACTAAGTGAGACGCCCGAGGGTGTATCGGCGCTGAGACGCCCGAGGGTGTACTGAGGCCCTAAAAAGTGGTTTTTTTCGTTGTTATGCGGTTTTAACCCCCTGGATTCCCCGGAGCCTATAAATACAGTCCCAGGACCCTCATTTTTTGGGGATCTGAAATTTTTGGAGAATTGGCGAAGCCCTGCTGGACTGAAGATTGATCGAGTTCTTCAGCACAAGAGAGAAAGGTTCTTCAGATCTACATCGTTCGTGTCCGTTCCTTAGGATTATCTCGTTGCGGTAATCTTAAGAAGAGTAATTATCTCGCCGTTGTCGAGATAAGTGCTTCTGCTTCTAGATTCCTTCGCGAATCGACTAAATTTTGGATCTGATCTAATTGTCAGGTGGTCCACGGATATTGACGTCCCCGTCACCGGCCAAAAGCCCACGCAAGCAAGAGACGACGAACGGATCTTGTGTTATTTTCGAGAGAGTTGTAATTCCTTTATTTCTTAGAGACGACGAACGGATCTTGTGTTATTTTCGAGAGAGTTGTAATTCCTTTATTTCTTTCTTTTGTTGATTATTTGAATTCTTTGTAAACGACTAAAATTCGAGAGAGTTGTAATTCCTTTATTTCTTTCTTTTGTTGATTATTTGAATTCTTTGTAAACGACTAAAAGTTATAATGAATTCAGTAATAAAGGCAACTTTCAACGAAAACATCGGCGTGTCGGATGGTCGTGTCGGATCCGTGTCCGTGCTACATAGGTGGCGGGCGATGGAAAGGCTGAGGATCCCGCTATCAACTATGACAACGTCGTGCTACGACTTGCGTAGACCGGCCACAATAGGGATTTAACCTCAGTCAGGGCTCAGTGACGAGACGACGATGGCGATGGTCACGAGATCGACACGAGATGCGAACGGGGAAGAAGCGCCGAAGGGGGAAATCATGCTCCGACTTGCGTACAACAACCACAATGGGGATTTCACCTCGGTCAAGGCTCAGTGACGAGATGACGACGATGACGAACACGAGACGTACACGAGCTGAGAACGGGGAAGAAGCACCGAAGAAGGGGGAAATCATGCTCCAACTTGCGTACAACGGCCACAATGGAGATTTCACCTCAGTCAGGGCTCAGTGACGAGATGACAACGGCGACAGACACGAGCTGAGAACGGGGAAGAAGCGTCGAAGAAGGGGGAAATTGGGTTTTTTGTTTGTTTGGAAATTGACAATACCAAGTGGAAGGGTCGGGATAGAAATGTTCAGATTCTAAGAATGTAAGGGCGACTAAGCAAATAGACAAGTTTGGGGGTAAATATGCAAATATGGATGACTTGATGGGTACTTACGCAAAAAGACTCAGAGCAACAAAATTACTTGTAGCATCTCAACCTTAGTGTATACACATCAACACGAAGTATAAATTAACAATGTACAAAATAAAACACATATAAATCCTTTCCACTATGAATCCATTACACTCTGGTGGAAAGCATGCAACAATTACTAATTTGTAAAGAAAGCCTAAATTTAGCTCAAAAAGTAAATACAAATTATCATAATTCACCGAATAAACTAGCATTTAATATAGTAAATAATGCTAATCTCGAACCAAACAATAAACAGAAGCAAAGAAAAACAACATCTTACCAGTTATAAGAATTATATCGCATCTGAACTCTAATAAATCTCAAAAAGAACAAAATAAATCATATAAATGGGAATCTGGATGGTAGAATACCTTTCTTATTTTTCCAAAACCTCCCAATCCAGAATTCGATTTCATCATCAGCAACATTATCCATCATCAAGAGTGTAGTGCAGAAGAAAAGACGCGTCATCTAATTGAATCACAATTTTTCATTTCTTTTTTTTTTGTTTTTTTGTTTTTTTTGCGTGGGGGTTGGGGGGTTGAAAAAGGTTGCGGCCAGTTCGAAAACCCTCTAGACTTGAGAGAGGTTGCGGCCAGTTCTGAAACCCTACAATAGAATCTCTGCTATTTATCATCATCCTCGTCTCATCCATATCGTCCATTTTACATGATCCCACGGACGACAGTGAGAGGGATTGAATGGCAACCTTGTAAATAACTGTGATGATTTTAGTGCGGTGGGTAGTTTTGGAAACTTATAGCAGAATGAGACCGGGCCTTTACTTACAATTAAATGGTATAATATACGTCCGAAAGTAGTCCTGGATACTGAACACCACTCCATCTGCTGAAGAAAGCCGATACTGATGATATTAGTAGTGAGTGATGGGTTGAGATTTCATATTTAACGTGCAGTTAAAATATGGGATTTGGTTCTGCATATGGGTTGATTGGTTCATGTTTCTGGGCTCCGGTCCATGTTAAGGCGACCTTTATACATTGGTGCTTCGATTTCCTCTTCACGTTCGGTTTCTGAGATTGGTGTTTGGATTTCCTATAGCTTATTCTGTTGGATATTTTGTTGGAGAAAATGCAATTTTGTCTTCATGAATAGTCCCATATGGAATAGTGTTATGAATAAAATTAAAACGTACGTAACGGGTATACATTATGGGGAACGTTACGAGTTTCACTCTTCCTCAACAACGGCTATACGTTGGTCCTTCGTTTTCCTCTTCAGGTTCAGTTTCTGAGATTGGTGGCTGGATTTCCTGCAGGTTATTCAGGTTAACCCTCCTCTTGCCGCCAACACGACGGAACGTAATTGCCCAACTACATTCAACATGCGCACAAGTTTATTCAAAGATTAATTGATTGTACAGAAATCTAAAGGTACAGAGGTAGATACAAAATAGTGTGGAAAATTCTCAGTAAGTATATTCCTTTAATTAAAAAATCAATCAAGAAAGTCAACAATCGGCATATGTGGTGATCATGGATATAAATTGTAGATTTGGCGAAGGATTTGGTGAAGAAAAGGTTTTGGAAGTAGAGAGTTGTTTTTGGCGGTGTGCGGCCGACCGCGGTGCAAGGCCGGTCGACCGAATTCGTGCACGGACCCAGGGTTTGATTCAAGGCTTGGTGCGGTCGACCGCCACGATTGACCACCCAAATCCTGTAATTGATTCTGGGCTCTGTCGTTGGTTTGGTCGACTATCGCGGTCAATCGCCAGACCTTGTAATCGTTTATTGGATTTTGTCGTTTGTCGCGGTCGACCGTGGCAGTCGACCCCGTATCGAATCAGGCCCAGATTGTTGTTTCCTGTTCTGTTTGGGATTGGTGTTTGATATAAATTCAAACACACGTTTTAGGGTTTCTTTGGGATTGTTTTGGAGTTATTAGAGCACAGAAAAGAGAGATCTTTCTGAGCTATTGGTTAGGGTTATTTTTTTGGTTTGTTTTGAGTAATTTGTAATCTCAGTATGTACTCTCTTTCTCTATTAGTAAAAACTCATCTCCTTCTTGCCCCGTGGACGTAAGCAACTTGCCGAACCACGTAAAATTCGTTGTTTGTGTTTGTACCTTTTATTTTGGATTGTTTGGCCCTTCTCTCTTGATGTTTGGTTTGGTTCCTCGAAGCACAACATAACTAATTGAAGAATCAAGATTAAGAAAAAATGACATGTTTATTAGAACTCGAAAAGAAGATTTAAATGTAATCAGGCAATGAAAAAAATCTAAATTGTGAAAATAAGATGCTCGCATAAAGCAATAAGAAACAGAGTCTTGCTCATGTAAGAGTATAATTAACAAAACCAATCAAGAACAAATGCAATAGACAAGAAAAAAACTGATCGAAGGAGATGATTAATAAGCAGAGATGCAATTAAGAAATTGAGCAGGGGGCATGTATTCTGTATCACAAGGATTTAAAAAGAAAAGGAAAGGAAAGATCATCAAGAAAACAACTCTACAGTTTTAAGGTTATCAAGTAAATGAGAGAAAACATAATATTTATTACGTTCAATGAGATACTACTCACTTTCATGGCATTAAGCAATAGGTTACAGAACTGTAACAAGAATCTAAGTGATATCAAGAAAAACTAACAAGCAGACGCACAACTTAGCGAGAAAATTAAATCCTAACCAAAATATATACCAGAATTTCACCAGCATGTCCCCATTCTTAATGGGCTGCTTCAACTCCTCAATGTTGTACTCCTGCATCATCCACTCCGTTTTCGTTCCCTGATTCACGCACCAACGCTACAAATCCTAGTCTCCATAATTACTAGCTCCTGATCCTCTTTGCTGTTCTTAATAGGTATATTTGGCTTAATGATTTACATTATATAACACTGTGCTATTATATCATAACATAATTGATTCCATGCTATTACAACTGTTGGGGAATTTCAGTCTCCCCGCCTACCACGATATGCGCAACTCGGAAGCCAACCCCAATCAATAAGATAGAACAACCACAAAAAAAGAACAACGAGATTTACGTGGTTCGGTCGACCAATTTCGACCTACGTCCATGGGGCAACAATACGAGAAATTCACTATGCATCAGGGATAACTACAAGAGGAACCACTCAACTCTCGTCTCTCAATCTCTCAACCTCACATACATAATCAACTCTCATATTCTCTCCAAAGCTCACTCCTTATAATCTTTTGCACAGATAAAGACTACGAAACCCTCTCTCTCTCTCTCATCTACTACATCTCTACTTTTTCTTCATTGTTTTTCCTCTACCAATAGAAGAATATATATAGAAAAACCAAAACCATATCTCTAGTCTAACTTCCTAATTAGAATAGGATTCAAACTCCTAATCATGATAAAATCTAAACTCCTAATCACGATAGACTAACTTCCTAATTAGAATAGGATTCAAACTCCTAATCATGATAAAATCTAAACTCCTAATCACGATAGAACTCAAACTCCTAATCATGATAGAACCAACTCCTAATCATGATAAAATCTAAACTCCTAATCACGATAGAACTCAAACTCCTAATCATGATAGAACCTAACCCTATCTAATTCTCATGAAGTTACACAAAGAATCAAAGACAAAATCCAAATAATCTCCACCTTGGATTTGATTCCCTAACTCTCTTGAAGATATATCATCGTCGTCTTGAAACTTTATCTCTCCAGCTAGAGTCTTCTATTTTTTCGCACTTCAAATCAGAACACATGCACTCCCAATTGGATGCCTTCATGATCCTCACTATCTTCTGCTTCGTCGTGACGCCTCCACCTCTCTTGTTGTCCTTGTGCTCCACCTACATCGCTCGTCTCAAATCATACCGGTGCACCTCTCCTACTCTACACTACGAGCTGGATGTCTTTATCTCCTCCATCACTTGGCTTGGACCAAATATGAGCGCTCACCATTTTCAAGTCCAACGTCACTATCTTCATCTCCATGTGTGTCACTCGGTCGTGCTCGCTTGTAAGCTCCACCTAATCTGGTACTGTCCTCCTCAAGTATACACACCAACCAACTTCTGCTCCTTATCTACCATCATATTTGTCTTGCCGTTAAATAACGGAATATCAAACTTCGGACCCGAAGAAGACATCATTCTCTAATTAAAATTCAAATCAGTCACCGTAGAGTTTGAATTTGATGAAACTGATGCCAAAAATGAACTCAGCACGTCGAAAAACCCTAGGAACGACTCCTGGATCACCAAAATCCGCCTCCAAATCCTCAATCGACTAACAAATCAATCTGGACTGTCGGATCCCCACGTGAACAGTACCAGTTGCGCTACAGTGTTCTGCTACAGTGACATTTTCCTTTTTTCATCTTTATTCTTGTAACGCCGATTTTCACTCTTGCACAGCGTCGTCTTCTATCTTGTGAACTCGCTCTCGGATCCGTCATCTTCGCTCTGATACCACTTGTTGGGGAATTTCAGTCTCCCCGCCTACCACGATATGCGCAACTCGGAAGCCAACCCCAATCAATAAAATAGAACAACCACAATTAAGAAAAAAAACACCGAGATTTACGTGGTTTGGTTGACCAACTTCGACCTATGTCCACGAGGCAATAATACGAGAAATTCACTATGTATCAGGGAGAACTATAAGAGGAACCACTCAACTCTCGTCTCTCAATCTCTCAATCTCCCATACATAATCAACTCTCATATTCTCTCCAAAGCCCACTCCTTGTAATCTTTTGCACGAATAAAGACTACGAAACTCTCTCTCTCTCTCTCTCTCTCTCTCTCTCTCTCTCTCTCTCATCTACTACATCTCTACTTTTTCTTCATTGTTTTTCCTCTACCAATAGAATAATATATATATAGGGAAACCAAAACCCTATCTCTAGCCTAACTTCCTAATTAGAATAGAATTCAAACTCCTAATCATGATAAAATCCAAACTCCTAATCATGATAGAACTCAAACTCATAATCATGATAGAATACAAACTCCTAATCATGATAGAACTCTAACCCTATCTAATTCTCATGAAGTTACACAAAGAATCAAAGACAAAATCCCAACAACAACACCAACATCAACAACATGATGTCATTTTTAACCGTAACTCGAAATATGTGAGATTTGTTTAAGCTTTTCATAATGAACACACGCTTCGCTTAATTAATGAGCTACTTAAGGATTAATAAAGCTCTCGTCTAAGACCGGGGCTACTAAACTTTCTTGAAATTTGAGATGCCCGATGCCTTGAAATGAAAAAAAATAGAGTTGATGAAGTTTTGGCAAGAATCCCCCAATTACATACTATAAAGTCATAATCACAATTAAGAATGCGAGTTGAACGGATCTACTGAATTAAAAAGAGACAAAAGTATACAATCAATTTAATGAAGACATTTTACAAGAAAAAAAATGAAAAAATCATCAATCTAATAGCAGCTACAGGACACGAAAACAACAGGACAAACAGCTCCGTTACTTAAGGCCACCGATCTGGAGATTCTGAAATTCGCATATGAGATTTTGAAATTAGATTAATTAACCGTATTAATTTAATCTAATTGTGGTTTATAAATGTTGTAATCTTGTTGTTATATCTACATACATC